TAATATAAAGCAAATGAGAAGAGGAAAATAATTTCTCATCTGAAGTTTATATTATTGCAGGTAATTATCAAGTATAGCTACTTAAGATGCCATATATTTTTCCCTATTCGCTAAATATAATTCACTTACTATTATTACTAGTTTTGCAGGGGAACTAAATAGCACCGTACCTCTTCTTATCCTAATTAGAGTATAATACAAAAAGGAACCTGCATAGGAAAAGGAATGAATTTCCAACTTCTGTTGTGCGCTTTAGGTCAAAGTGCTTTTCTGCAAAGAAAGCAGGTATTAGGTAAATTAATGTAATTACAATTGCTTAAAAAATAAAACTCCTAATCCAGAAACGAAATACAAGTGTACTTCAGGAGAGGTCTCTATACAGCTTTTCACAGAAGAACTTACAGGACATGAACTCTATAACTAGATTCTGAACAGGCTTAGGACACAGAACTGAGATACATCTGTATTTACTATATTAAAAATTGTTCATAATTGGACCTCAATTTTGTGTTACAAGGACAAAAAGAAAATTAAAATTTTATTTGTTCCACTGCCTTTCCAGTTTTGTCAGCTACAAACCTTTCAATATAATGAAAAACATTGAGTATACAAGACACATTTAATTAAAACTATAAATGTTTATATGCATGCATAGACATTTGCATGCCATTTAAAACTGTATCACTAAAGTTATATTTTGTGAGTGGAAAGTCCTGCTCTTTTCACCTCCGCCTCCCCCCCCCACCCCCCCCGCAAATGCTGATGAAGTTAATTTGGAATATTTACTCTCTTTCAAATATTCACTTTCAAGAGCTGAGGAACAACACGGCTTGTTTATTCACGATGCAGATTTCCATCATAGGTTTCATAGCTTCTTTTATCCAAGTCATTTGTAAGACTCTAATTCAAATATTCCATCCTTTTTTTTTTTTTTCTAAGCCTTCTGTATGTTTTGCGTCAACTTTCATTTGGCAGCTGGATTCAGTTGCAATTTCACCAGAAGCGTCAGATTTCTTTTCCAGTTAAATTTTGCTCGTTGAATCTTCAGTGCATATAGTGGAACAGAAAAAAAGTTCAAGATTTTCCATATTCTTGAAAAAAAAAAAAAACTCCAAAAAACAGTGATATTGTGAAACTTTTTCTCCAAGCAGTTTCCTAATAAGAACCTGATGCTTCTTGGTGACTTTGTGAGCCATTACATAACATCTATTTATGTTACTGCTAGCTCACAGGATCAGATTCATAGCCTGTACTTAAAAAACCTCAGTGGATTATAAAACAAGATTGCATCTCTCTATGATGCATATCATATTTGCAGCAAGATGAAACAGTAATAAATTTAGATGAACTCCTTTAGGGCATTCTGAACTCTACCTATTTCTGCATCCTCAGCCAGAAGGAAAATAAATTGAGTGATAAAGTGCAAATCATGTGGCAGAAGAAGAAAGGATAATAAGCTCTCGTAAAACATTAAATATGTGTGTGTGAGTATATATATATACATACATATATATATAATCTATCTATCTGTTTATCTATCTACCTAAAACCAAAAAGGAAAAAAAGTCTATTTCTGTTCCTATTAAGATTACAGAATGAAAATGTACAATAGAACACGAAAGTTCAAATTAGGATTAAATATACACTTACCCTATTAGTCCAAAGTTCAGGGAGTCTAGGAATATCATAGACATAAATAGAAATACGTTGTTTAGAAAAACAAATCTTTGACCTTAATTTTATCTGTATAATAGGAAATCTTCAAAATATGTTTAGAAGAAAGTCTATAATTTAACAACCAGTGTCATGAATCCTACTCTAAGATGCTGCTACCACAGGACTGCTAGACTGCAGTTGAAAGAAAAAGCTCTAAATCTTTTGTACCTTCTCTTAAGGGAAAAAACAAACAAACAAACAAACAAACAAAAAAACCCCAAAACTAAGAAGACATAGAATATATACTTCTTCTTGTTGTTGGTAGTGTATTGAGGTAAGATTTCTTAGAGGCAGCGTTTCAGTTCACTCAAAACCGAGGCGTTTAGCTGGCTGGTGTGACCACCAGAGGGCAGGACAGATATAGCAGAAGGTAAAAGCTTTTCTCTACAGCGAGTAAGGAACGTGCTAACAAAAGCTGCACTTTCATTTCTTGAAAAGATGATTTGATATTTAGTGTTCTCCTTGTAAAAGCCCAAGATAAAAGGAGTTTTTGATATCGGCATAAGGAGTCCCATTCTCACCCGGAAATTATTTAGAATAGCTGCACAGAGGTAAGGCATTCATCATCTTATCGAGTTACTTTTAAAATGGAAATATCTTTTTTAAGCCGTGAAGACAAAAAGCAGATGTTTCCACCATTTTTTTTAAATGATTAAAGTAAAAAAAGTGTTACCTTTTAATGACAGGGCTTAAAAGCTTTGCAGTGACAAGATTAACATACGTGGTAGTAAAATAAATGGATTTCTTCAATAATACATGAAATAATACATGAAAGTCATCAGTGTTTACAATACCAATTTCCTACAGAAAGTAAATCTTAACATTGAATCATAGTACAAAGTTGTTAATACACATTGAGCCTCCATGGAAAATGAACTATTTACAGTACACATGCAAAAATAACAAATTGCCTAACAAATCCCTTTACTCTCTCTTTCCTAACATTTAAAAAAACATGTCTGTATTGCAACCTTGCTAACCTTCCACATCCGATGTTCTTTTTATACTATTTAGTACTTAATACCATAAGAACTGTCCCTCATTTTGCTTCCCCAAAACTTGTTTCTTACCAACTATTATTTGTAACTAGTGAAATAAACAATCAGTTAGTAATTGCTATGAGATCAGAAGTATTACCTTGTATTTTTCAGTATTCCTGTTCAAATCTGCATTCTAAAAATCCTATCTGAAGAAAAAGCTAATGCTTACAACATTCTTTTCAAATGTGTGATATGAGATGAGGCAATCAGACAGTCGCTAGAAGAATTTAAGCCCTTTTAAGGCAGCCACCAAAGGAATGTCTGATGATGGAACAAAGAGATTAAAAACAATAATAATTAAGAGCTCTGAAAGGGAACTGTACTCACTGAGTGGATAGATGACTCACTTTGAAGGCAATAGGAGGAATTTACCTTGGAAAAAATTATGATTCTTCCACTACTTTTCAAAAGTCAGCATCTTTTCTTAATATCTTTTTCCTCCTCCTCCTTCTTCTTCTTCCTTTTTATTTTTATTTTTATTTTATTTTTAATGGAATAAAATACAGAAAGGGTAATTTACTAAAAAGCTCAAATGGCCACTGAACTTAATACCAGAGTAATTCTCAAATAAACTTGTAATTACAGAAGAGCAAAACATGAAATCTCTAGTTGTAACAAACACTCCATTCCCATCACTAACATATTATTTGAAAATTTAGCTGTTTAAAAATAAACTTGGTCCTAGCTTCAGAGGAAATGATAGAGGTGGGAGATGTTAACTTACTGAGGTCCAAATCTTAACTTATTAAGGTCCAGATGAAAAAAATCTGTTCCTGTTAAGTCATTTTGATTTATTTCAATGCTGATGCTGTTGATTAAAAATGCATAAGGAATTGTTAATTTGAATGTGATGCTCCTAAAACCTCTGCATTCTTTGTGTACCAGGTGTTGATTGGATATAAATATACAATGCAGACAAGAATTACAGCCTGAACTGCTATTTATATTCTAATATAAAAATTGGTATAGGCCTTGAGACCATGTCATACTTGGAGAATATATATATATTTTTTCACTTAAATATTACATACACAGAGTCCATCTCACGTTGAGTTTCTTTAGTGTTACTATTACGCATTAAAGGATCATCTGTTAATCTTCCAAGATTAAATGGCCTGACAATTTTGATGTTTGCACTGTTTACATGCATGTAACATAACTGCTTCAGTGGTATTTAAACACACATTTTATTTTTGAAAGGTTTGTGTAAAAAACTGCGTATTTTTTCTTTTTATTTTCCAAGATATGAAATAGCATAATGAAACACGGCATTTAAAAGAATTAGTTACAAGAGCATACTTCTAATTTTTTATATTAACTTCTTACTTTTCTGTTAATAAAGTCAAAAGCCATATCGAGAGCCTATATATGCCAATTCACAGTGAAATGCATACCCCATGAATGTTCTCCAGCAACCTCATCCCCAAACCTATTTTTTCCTGAGTATTTAGAAGGACTGCTTAGCATTTGCTGACTTTGGATATTATCCTGGCTGATGAACAGAAGTCTTTGGAATTTAAAAAAACGCAATACTTTTGATTTTAAACATTTTATTAAGAGGAAACTGCTTTTGGAACCACAGAGGATGCTCACCCACAGGCAATCTCTGCAACCACATCGGCTTTACCTGGGAAATACACTTATGCTCTAATAGCACGTCAGGCATGTCTGTAGCCCACAGGCTGCATGTGCCCCAGGACAGGCAGCAATGCATCCCAAAACTTTTAACATAAGCTTATAATAAACTTATAATATTATTGTGTGATTTTTAGCAATATTTTCCAGGAATAGATTGTGTGTAGCTCGACTGTGGGCCGCATTGGTGACAACAGAGCACTGCAGGGAGAAGTGCATGGTGCAGTGCCAGCTCCACGACTCATGCCTACCACAAACACTCGGTCGAATCAAGATTCATGAGTTGCACACTACATGTGCTTGTGCACCTGGTGGGTAAAATGCAGTGACTGCCAACAGTAATATTTCAGCCTACATATATGTGCGTGTGCCTGTGAAGACACGTGTTTTTTATGAAAGAGGCTTGCAAGTTTTGTGATTTAATTGTTAATTAAATGTGTATTATACCTACTTTTATTCACTTTTCCTCAGAACTTGAAAATTTGCCAAATTATGTATTTAGCAGCCCCTGCTTTCCTCATGAAAGTAATGTTAACTATTTTGTGATAAAATCTAAAACACAGATGAAAGTAAAATACAAGAAAAAATAAGTACATACTTCAAAATTAGGCGTAATTTCAAAACTTTCTCACCTAACCTTTACTTTACAGTTGGGAAAGGAGCAGCAGATATAAAATTGCTATAAAATAACCAACGAGTGGAACTTCTGAATGCGGTAATGTCTACAAATGGCAAATGAAACACAGGGTGTGCAGCATGGGGATTTTTAACTGTAATTCTTAGAAGGGTAAGAGTAACTGTAACACCTACGGTGTCCTCATCGTGGCACAAAGAAATACAGAGTTACAACCTATTCAAAGAACAGACATTTATTCAAAGAAAAGGCTAATTGTATCACTTCACCAGACTTTTCAGAGCCCCTTCTTATCAGAGAAAAATATCCCTTACTTCTGCATTGCCCCTCATTCATATTGTCAGTTTTTGGTAGTATGTATATTTGTGAACAACTATTTTCAAGGGTGAAGTCCAGGAAGAGTAAAATTTCATGACAAGCTCCTTGAGAGCTCGCTGAGAATGGCAGCCTCTGCCACGGAACCAGCGGTGCATCAGTTCCACAGAAACGAGGTCATATATCCCAAACCCGGTTTTGTTGCCCTCTTTATGTTTTAACTAGAAAAAAATAAAAGTTTTGTCACATCTGTACATGAATATATTTTATACGTGGCCCAAGAAATCCCTCTTCACTCAGTATGGCCCAGGCAATCCAAGAGGTTGTTCAGCCACGGCACGAGCGCAAGGCTGGCAGAAGCCTTCCTTCCCTATTCTCCTTCTCCTCACTCCCTTCCTCCAAAATTGGTGCTGTTTCGGCTTCTCCGAGGAGCACTTTAGAGCACCGAGCCTCCTCTCGTTTCCAAATCACCGCGCAGCCGCCATCAGCGCGGGGCTGCTGGTGCAGCGGGCTCTGGGGTGAACCTGCCACAGAGGTCGGCGAGCTGCCCGGTCAAGGGTGCTTACAGTCACGTGTCGTTGGATCGATTGATTTCACCGTGTCGTCCTGCACAAGCTAGGGGGACTTCTCATCAGCAGCGTTTCACCTTGCTCCCCCGGCCCCGGAGAGACAGCAGAGCGGGCAACGAGAAAAGGGGGGAAGGATGAGGGGGGAAGGCGGAAGCGGCAAAGAGGAAGCGGCGCGTTCCGGAGCGGCCTCAGGTGTTGCCGGGCCTGCGGTCTCGGCATGCAAAGCAGCGGCCGTGCCCCCGCTGCGCTTCCTCCCCCACCCCGAGCTCGAGGAACTGAGAGCGGCTGCTCGCATAGCCGAGGGCCCCGCTCGGGCGCTGGGAGCCGTCCATCCCGCGCTCTCCTTTTCTCGCGGCTCCCCCACGAGCGGCGCTTCCCAGCCCGCGCCCCCACCGCCAGCGCGAGGGAAGCGGGAGCGAGCAACAAAGGGCCGCGCGCTGCAAGCACTCCGCCCCGTCACATGGCGCGCGCGGGGGCGGGGGCTCCGCCTGCGTCACTTCCGCTCCTCTCCTGGAACAGCGGGGCTGCGCGCGGAGTAGGACGTGAGTCTCGGGGTTCGCCGGAGCCCCCCGCCGTTTCCTTCTGCCCTCCGTCCTGAGGCCGGCCGCCGGGGCTCGGCATCTCCCGGCCGGCCTCGGGGAGGCGCGGGGAAGGCCGTGCGGTGCGGCCTTCCTCCTTTCCTTGAGTGCCCGCTGTGCCCCGCGGGGGGGGGATGCCCCGCTGTGCGGTGGGCCTGGGGCGGGGAGGAGCCGCTGCCATGTTGGGGGGCGAGGAGGATTTGAGGGAGGGAGGGAGAAAATGGCGTCGGGGATCCGCCCGGCTCCGTTTCCCCCGCGCCGGGATCAGGCCCTGCCCGCAGCCGACCCCAGACCCTTTTTTTCCTCCCTTCCTTCCGCCCTCTTTGTTCGGCTTTCCCTGCCTCCCGCCGGCGCTGAGCCCGGCCCCTCGCTCCGCCCTGCCCGCAGGACCCGTGCCGCGCTCCTGGCCCC